CTTCCGGATTGAGAGCACATCTTCTTTCCTCGTGCAGCTGTACACAAATATGTGTACATACAGATGTCTCAGGCTATGTGCATACGTGTGCATATATATAAATACAAGCACAGGCGAATTATTTCCATTCCCAACATTATTGACAACACAATTCTTTGGACATGCAAAAGTTTCTATCTCGCTGCAGGCCCTGTAAAATACAGGGTCCACGGACAGATAGAAATTTTTTGGTTTGATGATTAGCCCTTTGATTTGGCAGCTTGGGTATCACCTCTCGAATTGGAGCACACATTCAACTACCGTTTCCACAGAAATCAAATCCCAAGCATCAATGCACTTTCAAAGGGCCCAATGCAACTTTCCTGGTATTTGCACGCAAGCAGTCAAGGAAGCGCACACGCATGTACCTGCAAACAGGTCAACTCAAATAAGAACCCATTGTCACTTCCCATTCTGACAACACAAGATTTTTGGACATGCAAAAGTTTCTATCTTGCTGCAGGCCCTGTGAAACACAGGGTCCGCAGAAAGATAGAAACTTTTTGGTTCAACGCTTAGCCCTTTGATTTGGCAGCTTGGGTACCGCCTCTCGAGTTGGAGCACAGATCCTTGAGCCAACTCCGCACCGTGGCCCTTGCTTCCAGGCGCACCTTCGCGCGGTGAGCTTCTGTTGGCTGTGCTTCATGCCGATCCCCTGCAAGGCCGCAAAATACTCCGAGTCGTTGGCCGGCATCGGTTTCACGGTGAAGAAAAGCCCTCGACTCTGCAGATGCTCAACGACTGCCTCTGCAGAAAAGCCGCCGTCGCTCGACGAGAACAGGAACGAGTCCCCCAGGTAACCGTGGACGACACAGCCTGCGGGAAGCAGCTTGGCCGCCGCGTCCGCTCCCGGAGCTGACCTTTGCTCCCCAAAAAAAAGGAGTGTTGTCACGCAGGCGCAAAAAAAGAAAACTGCACATCCCGTGAGGCGCATTCCACAGACAAGGCCGCAAGGATTGGTCGCCGCCTCGTTGCCTTCAGTTCTCTTTTCCAGCTCTCGGGCATGTGATGCCAGACGTGCTCACGCACGCACTTCATGACCTGCTTGAGGTCGGCCAGCGGTCAGCAGCGTGACGATCCCATGCGCCTTCATCCAGTCGGCCAGGCCGTTGCCGTAGGCAAGCAGGTTCGTCGCTTGCTTGACGTCCTTTGGATGGAGTGGTGGCATGCTCTGCCGGGAGGCAACGATCTGCTCGGTGGACGCAAATGCCTCCAGCGGTTTCGGGGCAGTGGAGGGGTCCAGTGCGTACCCCAGCATGGCTTGGCAATGAGACGCCACTCCCAGAGGTCCATACCGCAGAACGCAGCCCACCTGACCGCTCTGGGCATGCTGTAGATCGGCTGTTTGGGAGGCCGATAAGCCGCAAGCAGAGGCCCAGGCTTCTCGCCAACTTGGATTCGTGGTAGCGGGCCGTTGGCTGTTCATTCAGCATCTCCAGGTGGTCTGCAAGCGTCAGGCTCCCTAGCGGCAACTGCCACGTGTCCTGCGTGTCCAGCAACTCCTCGACGAAGGACATGTTGATGCGTGGCGCCGTGAGATCCACGGGTGTGGGATCTCCTCTGGCAACGATGGGTTCATGAATTGCTGCAGCCGGAACCTGGTGCTGGATCGCAGCTGCTGCATTGTGGAAGCCATGCTGGGAACGTCACGGAGTCTGAGGGTCGAGTCGCTGCTCCCCCAGATCCGGTTCCTGCGTTGCGGCAGCAAATAGTGCTGCGAATCCACAGCACAAAACTCGAAGCCATGCCCAAGAGATAGGAGGTCCCTCTTGACAACCTTGACTTGGGGCTCGCTCGCCTTGCCGTTTTTGTTCACAATCCGCTGTGAAACGCCCAGTACGCTTCGAAGAAGGCTATCCGGCAGCCAGTGCTCGCTATGGCATCTTTGAAGCCGGCAGTGTGTACGTTTCCCCGGAGCAGCCTTCCCCATCCTCGTAGCACTGCACGAATGCTTTTCGAGATGCCCTCAGCAGAGAAAAGTTTTTGCACGACGGGCCGGAAATGAGAACATCCACCTCCGGGATCTTGATGATCATTCCGGTGATAGCGCAAAGGCCAACCCCAAGCGAGAAGACATTGACATCCTCAAACATATGTTGCACCGCCCCCTTGTGCGCATCCATCAAGAAAGCCAGTTTCGCAGCGTCTTCTTCGCACATGAACACCGTCTGCGCTTGGATGTGGACACTGAACCGGCTGTTTAGGGCCTCCAGGGTGCGATGCAGCACAACAGTGGCCACGTCAATGCCACTGCACGTGGTTTAATGACAATGAAAACACAGTTCACACTTCCTGGGCATGCAAAAGCTTCTAGAAGCACAAATCCTTGGACATGGAAAAGTTTCTATCTTGCTGCAGACCCTGTAAAATACAGGGCCCGCAGCCCCCAACGATTGAACAATTCAATCCCTCAAGCCGGCCGACATGGAAAAACCTAGTACTGCACATGAACAAGCCCACACCCAAAACCCGGGTTTCGCCTTGACAAGTTGGCAACCAGCGCAGCCACCGCAGCCGCCGCAACCACCTGAAGGGGTGCGTGCCAAGGGCGTCCAATTGGTGCATGCCGATTACCGACCCCGAATCGGTTCCATTTGGATGTTCAAATTTGGTTTGGATTCAGTCCCCAACGCCTGAGCAAAATCATCAAAACAATTGTGAAAAACGGGCCCTTTGCCGGGTGAGCTGTTTGAATCACTGAATGCCCATTCGCATGATTCCAGGACACCCCGAGACAAAGGCTTCTATCTTCGTGCAGGCATGCATTTTACCAGGGCCTGCAGAGAGATAGAAACTTTTGTGTGTCCCTCCTGAACGCTTGATAAAGGCCGATAGCTTGGTTTTAAGGATGCTGCTTGTGACACAAACGCAGCTCTGCCCTTCAAACATTGCATGTCTACCAAAGTCTGGAAACATGACAGTGTCTGAACTCTTCAGACCTTGTGTATGTTTCAAGGGGGTTTCCAGTTTTGCAGCAGCAAGATCTCCAAATCGCGCATGTCACATAGACTTAGGGCATAGAGCATCATTTGCGAGGCAGACCTGCCCAAAGGATCAGCAGCGCGTTCAGAACTTGAATGTTTACAAATTTGGCCAAAACACACGGTGTTGTCCCAAGATGCTACACAAGCCAGCTACCCCCCTTTCAATCAGGGCAGACCAGAGCCATCCTGGAAAGTCTGGGCAACAGACACAACTCAATATGTTGAGATGCTTGTCATGAACGAATCAAAATTGAAATATAAATATATATATATATATAAGCCGTCAATTCAACAGTTTCTATATTTCAGCGAGGCATGGAAAACAAGGGGTCAGCAGAAAGATAGAAACTTTTTGTTCAGTCTGCGGAACGAGGCAAGAATGGCTCAGAAGCTGGGGTTTGCGCAAAGCCCTTCAAAATGGATCAGTTTCACCAAGAAACTTCGCCAAGAAAAACACGGGATCCACTATTGAGGCAAAAGCTTCAAAATGGACAACTCGAAGAACACACTTCATCAGGCAAAACTCTGGTTGGTTCCAAGTTGACACACAATGTCAATTGACAGTGGCTCCGCATGTATATAATTACACCTCTCAAGTTTTCACAACAAATGTGCATCCCCAAACTTGAGTTTGTCGGGTATGTATATATAGGTATACTAAAGCGAGTCAAACAACCAAGCATTTCAACCGAAGTTGAGACAAACCAAACACGGCCACATTACAATCTCCAAAACCGTCGACCCGTCCGAACAAACCCAACCCGCCTATCGAACCAACCTCCCAGGTGCCTAAACGTATACACACAGCATGAGGTCTTCCACTCGCCGCACCTTCGAGGCGAATGGCGGGGCCAGTCCATTGGTTTCCTCCCGCTGCTGTGGGTCCTTTGATCAAGTATGTGTATGCATCTAAAAGGCAGAGGAGCCACACAAACGTTTCTATCTTTGCGCGAGACCTGCAAAAACCGGGGACCTGCAGAAAGATAGAAATTTTGGCCGGCGCCGCGCACTCTAACAAGTCCCTAGGATGGGGGCAAGTGCTGCGAAAGCCAAAACGGAGTATCTAGCATATGAACTTGGAAAGAGCGGTTCCAAGAGTGCCAAGATCCGGGTTTGCCACGCATGTCCTTCCTCCCAAACACTGCCAGAAGCTGCCCATGCCTCTCCTCCGCGCTGGCCTCGGCATCACTGCGCGCTTCAGTGACCACAAACACACACACATGCAAACTGATTCAAACCTCTTGCGAGCAGCCAAGCCAAGCGATCAAGCCCAGGGTAAGTCAAGGTGTTCAAAACCACCTTTTATGTCTCCATCCCCAGCGCCTACTTAGATTGGCTGTTTTTTTATAGAGAGTTATGGTGTTATCTGAACATCATAAGCAGTTAATAAAGGAATATAAGTATGTGTTAACAAGTTACATGTAAGTGACAACAATATATAAGTATGCATAAAATATACACAGGATTAAAAGGAGTAAATAAAAAGAAGAGTTTTTTAGCTAACTCGGTATAAGATAAACACTTTCGCTAACTAGTTATATTTTTGTGTAAAAAATAATAAAAAAAATACACCAGGGCAACACTTGTGTTCAAGGTGAATGTATATGTAGCCCAAGCTGAAACAAAAACGAATTTCTGTTCGGGATGTAACATTTTTTTATTCTGCCCACACGATTTCTCTTTTTGGATGGAAAGTCGTCCTGCTATTCTACAAAATGATTATAATGTTTTCTTCCAGTGCCAGAAAGGAGTCATAGGCATAGCCGAAATGTATTGATCCTTTTTTGTTTTTTAGCCACGAAGGATGAAAATTGAAAACGAAATGATCGATAAGCATTTTCCATTCTTCACCAAGACAGCATGTGGAGCCATGTGGCTGTCCCAGGCTTTGTTTCCATCTTGCATTGCATATTTTGCTGCCAGGGACCAGAAGCAAGCCCCTGCAACTCACAGCCCCACTGAAGGCACAGGCCAGCCATGGTTACCATAAGCCAGAAGGTGGTGCTCCAATACCGAGACGAGCGAGCAGTCACCATACCCAATGACTACATTTTGGTAGGGCCCACCAATGGCAAGTCTTACTTGCGGGTGAAGGCAACCTGTCAATCCATAATCCAGCTCATGACAGGAGGCAGGGTGGCCAGGACCAGCAGCATCCATGCCAGCTCTAGCCTGCGGGAACTGGTCCAGGCCAGAAACCATCAGTTGGACCACGTGCGCGACCCAGACGCGCCAGACGATGGAGAGCAGGCCCAGCTGTTCGACGATGGCCCTGCAAATCCATCAACGCCACCCAAGAAGAGGAAAGCATCCCGCATCGCCATGCCAGAAATGGTCACCATCCAGGTAGGTTCCACCCCAGTGGAAGTGTTGATCCATGGACGCAGGCCGAGAAGCACCGACCTGGCTGTCGAGCTGGAAGCCACCCAACTGGAGGCTGTCATCATCCACTTGCGAGAGGACTCGGCCCAGGCCACCCAGCAAAGCAAGCGACCATATGTGAAGAAAACAAAGGCATGAACACCATGCCAGACTCTATAGACTGCAGCGGCTGCTCCCAGAAGAAAAATGCATCGCGTGCAGTCGTGTGCTTCCGAGCCCCGTCTGGCTGTTCCATGCAGCGCCCAGTTGTATCACGTTTTTAGGGTCTCGGGTTTAAAGTTGATGTCATTCTGCAGCAAGCCGTCTGTGGTCCCAAGAGCTTGTATACGTCCTGCCAGAACCATGGCTGGTGTCCCACAGAAGGTGGTCCAAGAGGTGGAAGCCATCTTGGCATCCAAGCAGGGTGTGAACAACAAAGTGGAGGCCGTGCTCCAGCTTCTCCGAGCCCATGGCTTGGCCCACGACCAGGTGTTGCTGCCATCCCAACTTCTGTGCCACCCGGCTAACAGAGCTAGTGGGGTACCATGATTGCTGGCAGAAAGGATGCCAAATGATCGCCGTAGGCTTCAAGCGATCCATTCTGGACGGCACGACCATATGCTGCCAGCTCGCCACCCAGGAGGAGAAGCGTGGTGCCCAGCTGGCCGCCAACCAGGAGCTGGTGAGCAACTCCAACGGCCACTTAGCACCACTGACTGGCCAAGAGGGCCACTCGACTTTCATCAAGTTTTCTGTCATTCCCACATGTATATGAACACCCACGTTGTGCCACACGTAAAATATAAGTATATTCTTGCCTGCCAGGTTTCCTCACCCTGTCGGCCAGCCACACCATCGCCTTCCTGCGATGCCTCCAGTACGGCATCGAGGGGCCAGAGGGTACCCACGCCATAGTGCAGAAGGATAAGGACCCCCACGCAGGAGAGGAGGCCATGCCACACCTGCCATCCTTCATCGAGCTTGCCATGAACAGCACCAATGCCATCATGAAGCAAGCCAACGAGCTGGAGGTAGCACTCCAGCTGGCCACAGCTTTCGACCAAGGCCTCACCATGCAGCAGGCGATCGGGAAGGTAAGCCAGGCCAGCACCAGCTGCCAAAGATCTATCCCCAGCATTGCCATGTTTGTGCAGAAGTTTGGAGGCGGGTCGCCAGGCTTTCCATTTTTACACTTTTTGAATGGCTTCTCCAAATCCTTCAATGCCAGTTTGCAGATTGGCACAGAGACCATGCAACTGCTTTCCACTTTGGACTTCCGTGTGGCCACACAGATCTATCCAATGATACGCATCAGTCTGTGGGCTACCATGCTCACGTCCCCAAAGTCGCAGGATGGCTTTGCCAAGATCTTGACCCAGTCAGACATCCAGCGACTGAAAACGAGCCAGATGCTGCCTGCAGTCCAGCAGGCAGAAGCCATGCTTCAGGACGCTTGGAGAGTCCAGCAGCAGATGAAGGCCATGAAGGCCAGGCCAGAAGCTGTGCTCCAGAAAGCTTTCGGCCGGATGGCAGTGCGAACCACCCTCAGTGGTCCAGCTTGGAAGAAATCCTCCAAGCTTTCACCAACGAGATCCAAGATTCTGCAGGGACTGCAGCCCAGGCGAAGAAGCCAGAGCCTGCCAGCAGCCAGGGAGTCACCAGCGTGCTGGATGCCAGCCCAAAGGCAATAGCCTTGTTGCAGAATAACCACATGGAGTTGGGCAATATGCAGCTTGCTCGCAGCAATATAAGTGCGGACATATATATATATATATATAGACACAGATCTTTTCGGGTTTACGTACAGCGATATACTAGCCTGCCCAGGTACACCAACTCCGCAGACCATGGTCCCAAGGTGTTCGTGCTGGAGTCCATGGACGACTCCCACGCGACGATGAGGCACCAGCCTATCTTCCAGGCGGACGAATCTGTCCAAGTGCCACTGGAGCATTTGAGGAAATGGAGACCAGCCAAAGTCGCCCAGACCAAGGTTTGCCCGCCGGAGCTTGCAAAGGCTTGCCTGCCATCGATGCATGCTATGATCCAGGACGAGCTCCAGAAATCGAAAGTTGCCATGGCCTTGCATTCGGCCATTGCCAATCATGAGGTGGACCATGAGGACGTGGCCTTCGTCCACAGTCCACAAGGCCTGTTCAGCCTCAAAGCCAAGAAAAAGAACGCCATCAAGCTTATCCCATTGGGGCAGGTCGCCAAGCACAAGGGGCCAGGTGCGCCCCCCAAACTTGCAATCCAGCATGCTGGAAGTCATTGGGTCATCACCAGCTGGCGACAGAACACATCTTTCCAGGGCGAGGACCCAGGGTGCCTTGCAAGCCCATATTGGTGGGCCAAGCCAGCAGCCAAGGCCGAGGAAGCCAACCTGGTGCACAGCTATGTGCTGGAGGACGGGATCCGCATCCCGTGCTTGACCAATAGCCACCATGTTGCCGTCCACGACCAATTGCTTTACAGCACCGAGGAACCATGCGCGAGCTCTTCTTCCCAGCACCAAGCCAAGAAGAAGAAAACCAGCTGAGCCATCTGGGAGTCCATCATGATCCAGAGCATGCCACATGGCATGCAATCACCGACACAGCAGACGATGCTCAAGGAGTTTTCGGACAAAAATCAATCGTGTTGCATCTCAGTTTCCGCGCTGCAGAGACCCAGTAGCTGTTCCATTTGTCGTGTCTGCAGAGCCTCGATGGCTGTTCCAGTGAAAGTGTGCAGTTGCATGCAATGAGCCCATGGCGGCTGTTCTAGGAAGCAATTCCATGCAGTGAGCCCATGTGGCTGTTCCAGGAAGCAGATTTGTCCCAGAGCCACAGTGTAGGCTGACCCATCATGCTACCATCCAAACGAACCACCATGCTGCATGTTTTCACTTTGCGACCCAAGTGCTCAAGCAATCCCACCTGGCTCTCCTCCAGATACAGCCATGGCTCCCAAGACCAAGGCCGCCATGAAGGTTGCCAGCCACAAGGTCCAGAAGAAGCCCAGCGTCGGCGAGGCCCCCAAGAAGAAGCCAGCCATGAGCCAGGACACCATGACGGGCCATTTCCAGGACGCTCCAGACGTCCTCTGGGACTGGCAGATCCGATGCCAGACCAAAGGGTGCCCATCCTCCATTTATTTGAGGAAGGCCAGCCACCACCGTGTTTGCCAGAAATGCCAGGCGCCATGGTTCGGGAGCTTCCCCAAAGGATTGCATCTCCCAAAAGCCATGAGCCCATAGGAGCCCATGCAAGCAGCCAGGAGAAGCTATGTTTTTATGATGGATGGAAAAAAACGTTTGCATGCTTGCAGAGCCCTAGTGGCTGTTCCAGTTGTCTTGTTCCATGCTTTGTTCCCAGAGGCCGTCGAGCCCAACATGTGGCTGTGCCAAGAAGCAAGTTTTCATGTTGCAGTGAGCCCAAAATGTGGCTGTACCATGTCGCAGACCTACATTTTTTTGTATTACATTGGAACATTGCGACGGTGCTTCCCAGCACCAAAATCATACATTTCGTGGAACTTTCCGTGGCTGTCCCAGCACTAGCATCCCCAGGTTCGCCCAACACACTTTCCTCAGTTGTGTCCGCGTCCCAGCTGCAGCGTTCCAGCGATCCCCTCCCCTCTTCGGTGCCAGACCAATCGCAAGCCATGGGCTCCCAGAACAAGGTGATGAAGGCCCACGCCCATGCCCCCCTCAAGGCAATGAATACTGCCACCAAGGCCAAGGCCAAGCCCTTGAAGAAGCCAGTTGCAAGGAGACCAGCCAGGATGGAGCAGCACCAGTCGTCGACCACTGGAAGATCACATGCGCGACCAAGGGCTGCCGGGGTGCTGCATGTGTGGGGCGGCTTGGTGGGACATGTTCCCTGACGACCAGTTGGTGCAGAGGCCCAGAGTGGCCAGATCGGAAGAGAAGCTTGTCTGACGGAAAACATTTTTTGCTGAGCCCACGCATGTGCGCTGCAGAGGCTGAGTGGCTGTTCCATTCTTCCTGTCTGCAGAGCCTCGATGGCTGTTCCATGCAGTGAGCCCATGGTGGCTGTTCTAGGAAGAAATTCAACGCAGTGAGCCCATGTGGCTGTTCCAGGAAGCAGATTTGTCCTCCAGAGCCACAGTGTAGGCTGACCCATCATGCTACCATCCAAACGAACCACCATGCTGCATGTTTTCACTTTGCGACTCAAGCAATCCCACCTGGCTCTCCTCCAGATACAGCCATGGCTCCCAAGACCAAGGCCGCCATGAAGGTTGCCAGCCACAGGGTCCAGAAGAAGCCCAGCGTCGGCGAGGCCCCCAAGAAGAAGCCAGCCATGAGCCAGGACACCATGACGGGCCATTTCCAGGACGCTCCAGACGTCCTCTGGCACTGGCAGATCCGATGCCAGACCAAAGGGTGCCCATCCTCCATTTATTTGAGGAAGGCCAGCCACTACCGTGTTTGCCAGAAATGCCAGGCACCATGGTTCGGGAGCTTCCCCAAAGGATTGCATCTCCCAAAAGCCATGAGCCCATAGGAGCCCATGCAAGCAGCCAGGAGGAGCTCTGTTTTTATGATGGATGGACCAGTTGTCTTGTTCCATGCTTTGTTCCCAGAGGCCGTCGAGCCCAACATGTGGCTGTACCAAGAAGCAAGTTTTCATGTTGCAGTGAGCCCAAAATGTGGCTGTACCATGTCGCAGACCTACATTTTTTTGTATTACATTGGAACATTGCGACGGTGCTTCCCAGCACCAAAATCATACATTTCGTGGAACTTTCCGTGGCTGTCCCAGCACTAGCATCCCCAGGTTCGCCCAACACACTTTCCTCAGTTGTGTCCGCGTCCCAGCTGCAGCGTTCCAGCGATCCCCTCCCCTCTTCGGTGCCAGACCAATCGCAAGCCATGGGCTCCCAGAACAAGGTGATGAAGGCCCACGCCCATGCCCCCCTCAAGGCAATGAATACTGCCACCAAGGCCAAGGCCAAGCCCTTGAAGAAGCCAGTTGCAAGGAGACCAGCCAGGATGGAGCAGCACCAGTCGTCGACCACTGGAAGATCACATGCGCGACCAAGGGCTGCCGGGGTGCTGCATGTGTGGGGCGGCTTGGTGGGACATGTTCCCTGACGACCAGTTGGTGCAGAGGCCCAGAGTGGCCAGATCGGAAGAGAAGCTTGTCTGACGGAAAACATTTTTTGCTGAGCCCACGCATGTGCGCTGCAGAGGCTGAGTGGCTGTTCCATTCTTCCTGTCTGCAGAGCCTCGATGGCTGTTCCATGCAGTGAGCCCATGGTGGCTGTTCTAGGAAGAAATTCAACGCAGTGAGCCCATGTGGCTGTTCCAGGAAGCAGATTTGTCCTCCAGAGCCACAGTGTAGGCTGACCCATCATGCTACCATCCAAACGAACCACCATGCTGCATGTTTTCACTTTGCGACTCAAGCAATCCCACCTGGCTCTCCTCCAGATACAGCCATGGCTCCCAAGACCAAGGCCGCCATGAAGGTTGCCAGCCACAGGGTCCAGAAGAAGCCCAGCGTCGGCGAGGCCCCCAAGAAGAAGCCAGCCATGAGCCAGGACACCATGACGGGCCATTTCCAGGACGCTCCAGACGTCCTCTGGCACTGGCAGATCCGATGCCAGACCAAAGGGTGCCCATCCTCCATTTATTTGAGGAAGGCCAGCCACTACCGTGTTTGCCAGAAATGCCAGGCACCATGGTTCGGGAGCTTCCCCAAAGGATTGCATCTCCCAAAAGCCATGAGCCCATAGGAGCCCATGCAAGCAGCCAGGAGGAGCTCTGTTTTTATGATGGATGGACCAGTTGTCTTGTTCCATGCTTTGTTCCCAGAGGCCGTCGAGCCCAACATGTGGCTGTACCAAGAAGCCAGTTTTCATGTTGCAGTGAGCCCAAAATGTGGCTGTACCATGTCGCAGAACTACATTTTTTTGCATTACATTGGAACATTGCGACGGTGCTTCCCAGCACCAAAATCATACATTCGTCCCAACTCCTTGAGCTATCAATCATGCGCAAGCTGGCGGCTATTGCGCTCTTGGTTTACATTTTCCCAGACCGTAGACATGGCACACACGCTGCCACGCCTTCCATGGATTACCAAGGATCCTGACCATGGCTCCCATGAGCACCCCTCCCTCCAAGCCGCCACCGTCCACGGCAACAATCACAGTCACGACAACCGAGTCCATTTCTGGCCAAACCGAGCCCACTCCAGTGGCTGACAGTGAGGAGCCATGGTACCTAGATTTCTCGGCTCCAGACATAACATATCATTTCGACATCCTCTGGGGCAGATGGCAGGGCAGGCACATATACTTGAGCCAGATTCACCAATAGCATCATCAACCACAGGGGCCCTGTCCTTGAGCATTACATTCGGAGTGTCACCATGGATCCCCGAGACCTAGATGTTTTTGGAAACATATTTGAACAAAAGAAAAGGTCCAACACAGCTTCATTTTCGTTCTGCATGGGAGCCCATGTGTGGCTGTTCCACAGGGATGTAATGCTGTGCCAGTATGGAGCCCATGTGTGGCTGTTCAAGTAGGGGTTTCGTGTATAGGGTTCTGGATGTTTAGGGTTTTCTAGGCAGCAGCGAGGTTAGGTTGCAGTATTGTCAAGGATCAGGGCGTTTACGGTTAAGGGTCTTTAGGGTTTAGAAAGTTCAGGGTTTCACGTCCAAGGCTCAAGCTGTCCTCCATCAAATGTACACAAGAATTCTAGTCGCAATCGAAGTAGGCACAAGAACAGTCAAGTCTCCAATGACACAAATTAGCCTATATTTTCTGTTCCACACGAATCTCAATGCACATGCTGCAATGACAACTGCAGACTAATCCGAGGAAAAATATCAGATATCTCGTTGGAATTAACGTCTTCACATTAAGCAGCAGAGGGTGAGTTTAACATCAACACCACGCAACGTAGATTCAACACAGCTTATTTAAAATATAATGACCATAAATTAAATTCAGCAGCTGAATTTAAAATCCAATATATATGAATTAAATTCAGCAGCTGAATTAAAAATCAAAAACATATGAATTAAATTCAGCCGCTGAATTTAAATTCCAAAGTCCCTGGATTAAAACCAGCAGCTGAATTTAGAATTACTGAACTGGCAATTGTTCATGTTTTTAAAGTTTTTTTTTGCATTTTGCATTTTTCCAGTTTTTCGCGGGCATTTGTTGCTCGATTTATGTCGCTGAGGTTGACTTTAGAGAAGTTAATTGTTTGGGTTTCAAGTTGTTTTTCGGTGGGAAGGGGGGGGGGGGCAGGACGGGACAATAATAATGCGCCTGTGTGCCCATTGTTGCGAAAGGCTTGATTCCTGCAGCATCGTTTTTCGCTGGCTGCTCGCCTTCGGAGAGTCGGAACGGAATTGTTTTTTTTCATCTCGTTTGTTGTTTGAGGGCTCGGTGGCTTGCCCCGCCCCACCCCCCCTCCTCCCAAGCCCATCAATGATTGACGTTGTTGCGTTTGCTTGCGCGGGTTCGGTGGCTTGCCCCGCCCGGCCCCCTTAAACAAATCCTTTCGCTGGTTTT